CTTGTCACAAATGAATAACCATGGATCATAAGCCAAAGCTGCCATAGTAATTCTCTGCATAAGAGAACAGAACTACCCAATCAGATCTTTGTGTTTGAGGAGTATGAATCAGTAATGTGTAAAAAAGACTAACGTGGAATCACTGGAGCTGCTGTCAAATCAGAAATGACAATAAACCTATTCCAATTCTCCATGAAGACTAGTATATATTCCACCCTAGGAAGCACAAGCACAGAGGGATTATTTGGATTCTGAGCCAGTTTCTTGTGCTTCTTTAATCTCACATATCTTACAACAAGTCCCTATTACTTAAGGTTACCCTTATAATCCATGCCATATATATGATAGTGTTAATAATTTTTATAAGGGATCAGTAAGGGGTAAATACCCAAATATGGTACTATTGCTAGAATATATAAAATACCTGGAAAGAGAAGAGAAAGAGACACCTCTCAGGCAGTCATATGGCTATAGCTCACGTTCTTCTGTAATATTATGTATGTATTTGAAACTGATGAAAAGACACTTTACGTGTTTACTTACAATTTGAGACAGGTACTGAAAACAGAAAATGTAATAGAAATAAAAAATGTTCCCAAAGTAGGCATCCATCTCATTTGTAAAAGAAAAAATATTAAACAAGTAGAGATAATATGGCAAACTGACATTCATAGTCATCTGATTCAAAGAGAACCTGTTTTTAAGGAAAAACTGCCCCAGGAAGAAATGCTTTTCCTATATATTAGTGGATGAGACAGCAACATGTAAGGATGGTATTTAAATGTGTATTGAAATAATAAATTAATATCATTTCCCCACCTTTCTTCTCAATGTTTCTTTTCTGCCCTTTTAAAGTCATCTTATTAACTTTACTTGAGCTTTCCTGAGTATTTGTTTCTGTCTTAGCTCTCGAATTCATTTTGTTATATTATTTAATCAACCTCCTCCTTCCCTCCCTAAATAGTCTATCATACAAAAGCATTTTTAAAAGAAGCATTATTGAGCCCAGGAGTTCAAGACCAGCCTGGGCAACAAAGTGAGACCCCATCTCTACAAAAAATAAATAAAAATTAGCTGGGTGTGGTGGCGCTCTCCTGTAGTCCCAGATACTCTGGAGGCTGACGCAGGAGAACTGTTTGAGCTCAGGAATTGGAGACTGAAGTAAACTATGATTGTACCACTGTACTCCATCCTGGGCAATAGAGACCTTGTCTCTTTAAAAAAAACAAAAAAAAACAAAAAAAAACAAACAAAAAGAGCATTAAACTTAATTGGATTTTTTCTTATTAATGTATCAGTTATTCTACACTCAAAGTGACTTGGAAGTTTGAGAAAAAGTTATTCCTCAACCTCCCTCTCCAAATCACACTAAAACAAACAAATCAAAGAGAGGAGGAAAAGGCAAAGTATTTACAGGAAAATAAGCTACAAATAACTAGAACTAAGCAAAGAAAGCAGAATAGGTTACTATGTTGGTGGTAAAAAACTCTTTAAGGAAAGTCAAAAGAACAGAAGCAGTTTGGGCCTTTGTCTGAACTACTGGGATCATAAGCATTTTTTCTTGCTGAGCTATAACAGGAACTCAGTAGTTACCCAAGAGTGTGTCTGCTTTAGAGAAAATAATTTCAACAGCTCAACTGTAAAGAGATTAAAAGGTACAGGAATGCAGGGTGTGAGGGAGTGTCAATTTGGAAGACAGTGGCTTAAATAACAGTACTAAACAGTCAATGGCTACTTCTACATTTATAGATATTAAAGTATTTTGTTAAATACATGTCCATTCATAAAACAAAATAACATGGCTTGCTTATTGGCTTCATTATAAATGTGTGGTTCATGCTAAGCCGAAACCTGGGGCTCTGGAATCTTCTTCTGAATTTCCAATGTAGTATCAACTACAGTAATTTCTGCCAATAAAATTAAGAACCTAAGTGGGAGAAAAAGTCTACATCCTTCTGCACAAGAAATGATGCCACTCACCTTTTTAATGAAACTGTTAGAATATTTTATATTGAAAGATGAAAGAGAAGACCAAGTATGAGGTAATTTGTTATTTCATTTTCATTTCAGCAAGAGCAAAAAGAACAATCCAGGCATTTAAGAACTAAATTCCTGTCCCATAACATAGTTTACAGTCATCAACATAAAATTAACTTCCTTTTCCCTACTACTGAACCAAAACAAGAAAAAATAGAAAAGGATGTTGTCTAACTACTATTATCTAATTCAGTTCAGGTTTATCTTTACTCTCCCTTGATAGAAAACACCAAAATGTGATAAATCAGTAATTTGAAAATGAAAAATCCAAACAGAATGTTAGACATGCTCCTAATAGTATTTGTGTGAGAAACAGTCCTAACAGTCTTCCTGAACATCAAGGGGTTGCCGGGGGAGTGGAATTCAATAATTTTCTAACAGCACATTTATAGCAAACTAATGAGAAATCACTTTTTACAAATGCAAAAAAATGCAATGCATATATATTTTTTAAACCACCATTCATTGTCTTTTATAAAAATACAGTCCCTTTAAAGCTAGGATTGGTTGGGCACGGTGGCTCACACCTGTAATCCCAACACTCTGGGAGGCCGAGGCGGGTGGATCATGAGGTCAGAAGATCAAGACCATCCTGGCCAACATGGTGAAATCCCGTCTCTACTAAAAATACAAAAATTAGCCAGGTGTGGTGGCATGCGGCTATAGTCTCAGCTACTCAGGAGGCTGAGGCAAGAGAATTGCTTGAACCTGGGAGGTGGAGGTTGTAGTGAGCCAAGATGGCGCCACTGCACTCCAGCCTGGGCAACAGAGAGAGACTCCATCTCAAAAGAAAAAAAAAAAAAGCTAGGATTGTTTTCTCTATAAAAAATACTTGTTTTCTTCCCTTAGAAAAACTGCACTAACCATGACATCAATCCATGGCTTGACAAGTGTTACTTCTAATATCTGTTATACTGTTTTGATCAAATAATACAGTAGTTACTCTGAACCTCAGAAAAACTGTCTATTGAGTATGAAAAACATTCTTCTACAGTAACTTCCATAAAATACACTTCAACACAATCATTTTAACACCCAGCAGGTTTCTTCTTCACAGTGCTGAATCTTATTCTTAAAAGTTTACTTTTTTTCTCCTACTTTGAACATAATTATGTCAATAGTAAAGGAAATACTTTGTTTTCATAGACCAGTACAGTTGGAGCCTTGAGGGAAACACTGTTCTTAGCTGCCCCCTTGCTGCTGAAAAGAAACTTTGAGGCTTGTGCTGTATAGAAATATACCAATTACATCTGAGAGAGTAAGGTGAACACAGGGAATTTTGTGAAAAGGCAGTGATCATGAGACGCTATGGCTAAAGTGTTCCAAATCTCTTAGCATTTTTGATTAATAACTGAAAATATATAAGATGTTTGATCTCCGGCCGGGCGCGGTGGCTCAAGCCTGTAATCCTAGCACTTTGGGAGACCGAGACGGGCGGATCACGAGGTCAGGAGATCGAGACCATCCTGGCTAACACGGTGAAACCCCGTCTCTACTAAAAATACAAAAAATTAGCCGGGCGAGGTGGCGGGCGCCTGTAGTCCCAGCTACTCGGGAGGCTGAGGCAGGAGAATGGCGTAAACCCGGGAGGCGGAGCTTGCAGCGAGCTGAGATCCGGCCACTGCACTCCAGCCCGGGCGACAGAGCGAGACTCCGTCTCAACAACAACAACAACAAAAAAAAAACAAAAAAAAGATGTTTGATCTCCCTAGTTTTCAAGTATCAAAGTTCTCTGGTCCTAAAAACCTGAGCTGCTAGATATTTATACCTTAGGAAAAGAATTAACTAGTTAACTGAGAATTTCAATGATAGTAAGTGGTAATAATCAGAGAATGAATTTGCTCATTCTACTGTTAGTATAGACACTCGTCCCTCTGTTTATGTAGGACTGGTTACAGAGCCGCCTGTGTATCCCCAAATCTGCACACACTCAAGTCCCACAGTTAGCCCTGTGGAATCTACATGTGTGAAAAGTTGGCCCTGCATATAAGTGAGTTTGGCATCCTGCTAAGGTTGAGGAAAATCCACATATAAATAGACCTGCTTCATTGAAACTTGTGTTGTTCAAGGGTCAACTGTACTTACTTCTAACCACACCCAGTGTATTCTTAAAAAAAAAAAAAAAAAGTCAGCTACTCAGTATCACTTGAGCCTAGGGGTTTGAGTCCAGCCTGGGCAACATAGTGAGATCCCTTCTTTTGTTTAAAAAAAGAGAGAAAGAAAAAACAGCTTGGGATAGAAACCACCACTGAGGAATTCTAATTCATTCATGTGCTCCTGGGTTAACATACAGCACTCTAACAGAGATATTCACATGGCAACTCTATGAAGATACTATTTTCATTTTATAGAAAAAGTAGATGAAATATAAATAGCTATGCATTTTTTCCATTTAGCCTAATATTCATAACATTCAAAAGTGCTAGTATAAACATTTACTTTTACATAAGCTAACTGATTATCTAATGCACTCTTCACCAACCAAATGTTTAATTAAGTAGAGATAAAAGAGGAATACAGAGTCTTAGGAACACAGATCCAAACATTCCACAATTAATAATCAGCCTATAATCCATCTCAAATCTACATTTCAGAAGTCTATTTCTCAATAATCAAATGGGAATTGGTTTAAAAGCCTAAATAGGAAAAGCCTAAATAGAATGTTTTTATGTTTTTACTTTTTCTTTCATTATAAACAGTATGGCTATCAGGATTACAAACAGTAAAAATCAACAAGTAGTTTATATTTCCTAAATATAAACTCATAGTCTGACACCAATTCCACGTTCATCTTTATAATACTCAACAGCTCAAAGTAAAGCATGTATTACAGTACCTAGACTGTTCCACTCACATAATTTATTTTATATTGCTTCCTATTTCTCACATCTTTGTATTTTCCACAATATTCAGCCCAATGTCTTATGTACGGCAAGCACTCAATTCTTTCAAGATGAACTTACCCTTCGAAATGACACAACATAAAATGTGTCTCCCCTTCTGCGGATGGCTTCAAAAAAGTCTTGATAACTTCTGGGTGAAGCATAATACACTTGTAGCTCACTCCCTGAGTTCCTGCTAAAGTAAGAAAAATATAAGGTATTACTAAAATAAAAAGTTTCATGTCTTCCCAAAATACTTCCCATTCTAAGGCTGTGTCTGAATTCTAAGAATCTCTCTCAACCAAAATATTAGTTGCACTTTGGCAGTAATTTTTATAACAACATTTTGTAAAGCCCAAGGACCAGGATATTTTATAAGAACCCATTCACTAATGCTAAAATTCTGATTTCTGAATCAAGGCTCTAAAATGTACTAGATGGTCAAACACATTGCAAAGCATGTAAAAATAATGAAAGTATCAGAAAATAGAGAGATTTCTACATAGGTTTGAAGGATTTTTAATTTTTTTAGTAATACAAATTAAATCTGAGGAAAAGTCATTTTTCGTCACTCTGTCGAATATATGAAGATGTGCTTGCCTACGAGGCTGTGTGAAAGGTGGAAAAAGCTGAGAATTTGAAAACAGACTTGGTTTAGAATTCCTGCTTCACTTCTCAAGTGGGCACTCTTGGGGAAATCACCCTCCATGAGCAAACTGTTTCCTCATCAATAAAAAGAGGATAACCACACAAACTTTGCAGGACTGTTACTGGAGATATTATATATGTAAAGTGCCAAGCATGGATCCTGTCCCATAGGATTCACTCAACAATTGCTAGTCATTGATATTAAAAGTACCATGTGTGTGCCTTACTAAAATTAAAAACTAAAATGATAATACCTCAAACCACATCATGCCCCAAAAGATACAGTCAAATGATTCTAATAGAGTTCTTAATGTGTTCAAGATCTTCTAGTGTTTAGGACCAATATCTGGAAGAGTTAAAGGGATCCTGTAATGCTTCGTTTTTCCTCAGAGAAAACTTGTATGTATCAATCAAATATTATTAACTTAAGAGGAGAAAAAGACTGACCTAAATGGAAGAATAAATGAGTTATAAGAACTTCCTTTGAAATAACTCCATTTGTTCACTAGGCCATTTCTGATTACAATATTTTGAATATATAGTCGCTTCTTGCATTTTGTGATAGTTATGTTCTAAAAAGTCACTGCCATCAATGAATTAGTGAATCCTAAACCATTCTCCTAGGGGAAATACAGGGTTCGGTTCCTGCAAGCCTCTAGTTACAATATTTCTGTCAAGTGATCAATATATAACCTTATTTATGTGTTTCTGTTTAAAGACACCTTCTTTAACATATTCATTCACTAACTTGAACTCACAGCCAACAGCACTATAAATCATGCCTGAATGAAACTTATCTAACACATGTACTTTCTCCACACAGCACACCACAGCCCATTTGGGCTTAGCAACACTACACAGCAATTCAGCAATATGCCTCACGCCATTTCAAACAACAAAATTACCAACAAAAAGCACAAAAATATGAAAAATGTGGACTGTGAAAAGGATCTTGTTTATATACCTGAAACTAGAAGGCAGAACACTGCCTTGTTCAACCTCACCAGGCAGCATCTACGCATGTTTGTGAATGATGACAAAAGCACTGCTAATATTAGGGGTTACAAATACCTTTTAGCAGATTTTAGTAGGTGAATTAGCAAATACGGAATCCACAAAAAATGAAAATTGGCTGTAATTCACTAAAACATTTTAACTAATGAAGAAATACCACGCCATCATAACCATGCATCTAAAAATTGACATATTTTTTAAATAAATGTATTGTAATTGAAGGATATATTCTGCTTAGCAGAGAATTATTAGTTACTATTTAAATATATTTGAATTATCAATTTCAGCAGGATAATACAATCTCAGGATTTTAACCATTCATGATTGCTGATATGCTGCTCACTGCCATTTTTTTTTTTTTTTGAGACGGAGTCTTGCTCAGTCACCCAGGCTGGAGTGCAGTGGCGCGATCTCGGCTCACTGCAAGCTCCGCCTCCCGGGTTCTCGCCATTCTCCTGCCTCAGCCTCCCGAGTAGCTGGGACTACAGGCGCCCGCCACTACGCCCGGCTAGTTTTTTGTATTTTTAGTAGAGACGGGGTTTCACCGTGTTAGACAGGATAGTCTCGATCTCCTGACCTCGTGATCCGCCCGTCTCGGCCTCCCAAAGTGCTGGGATTACAGGCTTGAGCCACCGCGCCCGGCCTGCTCACTGCCATTTAATAGGAATTCTCAGTTATTAGTATAATGAATAAAATAGCTTTCGACTTACATTTTTACTATCTATCTATATGTATTTTTTTCTCAGTGCCTACAACACTGGCACACAGTATATTCTAAATAAATGTTAAATTCATGTAAGTGAACTACAAGTGTGTGGTAAAGCTACAGATGGAAGCTGAGATTCTCAACTTTCACTTCAGTGATACTGTTGTCAATAACATCACATCATTATCATTTACCATTGTCATTTACGTACCATGCTAAGTGCTCTAAATATATTATCTAATTTAACCATTATATCATCTCTGTGCAGCCAGCATTTTGTAGATGAGGAAACCTCAATTGCATGTAATCTGTTTGAGCCCACAAAGTAAGAGGCAGAGTTACAATTTGAACTCTGCCCAACAGGGCAAATAAAGCTAGCACCTTAACCATGATACCATATTGCTTCCCATATTATCTTTCCCTTTGAAGACATTTAAACTTCTAGATACAACATTCTCTTTGAAATCTTTCAAAATCTTAAGTAGTATTATGTAGTGAAAAATGCACTGTCAGTAAAACAGCTAGGATCCGAATGCTGAGTCTGCCACTAGGTCTTATGACTCTGAAAATTACAAAAAAAAAAAAAAAATGAGTTGAGCAGTTTTTCTATATATAAAATATACTTTTAGTTTTTATATAGATTTAAAGATAAAATGCATGTAAAGCACTCAGGAAGACACCTGGCACAGAGCACTCAAAAAATAATATTCCTTTCCCCTAAGTTCATGAAACAGATGCAAATCAAGGGCAAGAGAGCTATGGGTATTCAAGATTTTCATTAAAATTATGATGGAACAGCATTCTGACTAAATTTGTATGTAAGGGATTTGGGAGAGTTGAACTTTTGAAATTATCTGGCTTTATTCCAACTGCTCAGTAGTATATGTTATCTCTCTCTCTCTCTCTCTCTCTCTCTCTCTCTCAGTATATGACTAAAACTCATAGACGAGAACAAATTTAAGGTGAGAGGGAAGTGTGAATTTCAACTTTCTTAAAATACCAGCTATTTTAAATTCCCTGCCCAAGAGCTTCTGCACTGTCTTACCTGATACTAGTGGTTTCTGTGTATTGAACAGCCATCAGCTGAGAATTTGAGCCCTGTTCCAGAGCACCCTGGAATATTAAAAAAAAAGTTTAATACTGTATCATGAAATTATATGAAATTTTCCTATACTGGCTCATTCTATACTTAAATTGTTAAACTTCCATTGCTAAGATTTCTGACATATTCAGTTCAAATAATTAAACACTAACAGATATTAGAACTCTTTAGGTCCATTCTGATCTGGGAGAAGTGTCTTAAGGAGATTAAGGCATTTAAGGCACTTCCCATTAAGTTTAAAGAAAGAGTCCAAAAGCTTAGTACAAGCACCACTTTTATGACCAAGCCATATAAGTGTTACCGAACATATAACAATGTATGCTTGTCTAAAATAATTATCTTCCCAATGACAAGTTCCTAAGAAGCATGAAAAGTCCATTATGAAACTAGATCCTATTGTTTACTGAGTTAAACAGAGATATTCATGCCAAAATACATCTATGAACTAAGCCATCATTAAAGACTTCTCACTGATGACTCTTGGCAAGAGAACAGTTCTATCTACACCCATTAGTGGCCCACATATGCTACACTGGACACCTGTCTTTCACATAGCATTTGCTTTGCACTATGCCTTTTTATTCTCCCTGGTAGTTTTGTGAGCTGATTTTCAGAAGAGGTTTGTCAGGGTATCAGAATTCAAGGGCATATTACCAAGTTCTATTACATTAGAAAGTAATCTTACCCTGTCAAACAACGGTTTAAATAATTTTTTAATCATTTGTTCGCTACTGTGTCCATATATCCGTCTTTCAGTAATCAAAGCACCTACATGCGCCCAAGCTACAAAATTAAATATTTGACTTCTGCCTTTAAAAAGCTTGCAGTTTAACTGGGAAGACAGATACAGGAAAACAATACGATGTGGTAAGTGCTAAAACAGAAGCAAGTACAGAAGTTTAAGGGAGAAAAGAAGAGGAAACAATTTTGTTTGGTGGATGGAACCAATATGCAGGGATGAATATAGGGGTCCCCACTTCTGGCTCTGTAATAAGTCAAGGATCTTATTTTATAAAAATCGAATGTGGGTCTTGTATATTGTAGCTATTCGATAAATGTCTTAACAACAAATGAAAAAAATCACCAACAAAATGAAAAGAAAAACACAGTAAAAAAATAAAATACTATACTTACTGGCATAGTTATCCAGTAAGTAGTAAATAAAACCAAAATTAAATTATAGCTAGTTGATAAAGATAAGGTTTAAAATGAACAGATTAAATAGCTGGTGAATTTTAAATGATTTGTGCTACTTTGGTCAATATGAAATGAGCAAAGAAGTCTGAAAAAAGCCAGACTTCTTTCCCTAGTCTCAGAAAGGAATGGGTAGGCCTTAGGGAAAGCCAAGTTACAGACATATCAGGCAAACAGAAAATAGATATTCCGTTTACCTATCCAAGATTTGTATCAATTAACTAAGGAACCTCTGAAAAACTGGTCATGAGCTTTTGCATTTTCAGCTGTGTGGGTTTAGCAAAAGATCATAACTGGCAAAAATGTGAGAGGCATTTACAAAGAAATGAGAGGATGTTAAAATCTCCAATTATGCTGTAGATCTTTTTCTCAATTTGTCACTTTTTGCTTTGCGTAGGTTGAAGCTTTGTTATTAGGGGTCTATACATTTAGAATTGTTTTATCTTATTTGTATGCTCCTTTTACCAATAAAAAATTTCTTTTGTTGTCTCTTAGAATGACCTTTGTCTGGAAGTCTACTTTTTCTGATTAATATAGCGATGCCAGCTTTTTAATGCTTCACGTTTGCATGGCATACATACTTTTTCACCTTTATTTTCCATCTTTCAATGTCTTCATATTTAAAATGCTGTTTCTTATAAACAACATATAGTTGGATCTTTCTTTTTAAAAAAAATCTAGTTTGAAAATCTCTTCCTTTTAATTGATGTGTTTAGCCCACTGAATTTAACTACTATATGATTGGATTTAAGTCTACCACCTTGGTATGCATTTTTAATTTATTTAATTTGTTCTTTATGTGTTTCTCTTTTCCTGTCTTCTTTTCATTGAACTGCATATTTTTTAGTATTCCATTTTTATTTCTTACATTGTCTTTTTAGCTATACTTTTTCTTTTCTTTTTAAGACACGGGGTCTTGCTCTGTTGCCCAGGCAGGAGAGCAATGATGAAATCACAGCTCACCGCAGCTTCTCAAACTCCTGGACTCAAGTAATCTTCTGCCACAGCCTCCCTAGTAGCTGAGATTACAGGCACAAGCCACCGTGCCTGGCTCTAGCTGTACTTCTTTATGTTAGCTTTTAGTAGTTGCTCTAGAGATTATACTTTGATCTAAGTTACCACAGTCAATCTTGAAATATTATTTGAGCAACATAAAAACTTTATTAATAGTATAATTCCATTTATCCCTCCCTCCCTTTGTGTTCTTATTGTCTTATATTTTACTTCTATATAAGCTATAAACCCCACAATAAATTGCTATTATTATTGCTTTAAAAACACAAGAGTCGGGGGGCGGAGCAAGATGGCCGAATAGGAACAGCTCCAGTCTCCAACTCCCAGCGCGAAAGACACATTTTCAACTGAGGTACTGGGTTCATCTCACTAGGGAGTGCCAGATAATCGGTGCTGGTCAGCTGCTGCAGCCCGACCAGCCAGAGCTGAAGCAGGGCGAGGCATCGCCTCACCTGGGAAGCACAAGGGGGAAGGGAATCCCTTTTCCTAGCCACGGGAACTGAGACACACAACACCTGGAAAATCAGGTAACTCCCACCCCAATACTGCGCTTTAAGCAAACGGGCACACAAGGAGATTATATCCCAAACCTGGCCGGGAGGGTCCCACGCCCACGGAGCCTCCCTCACTGCTAGCACAGCAGTCTGCCATCTATCCACAAGGCAGCAGCGAGGCTGGGGGAGGGGCGCTCACCATTGCTGAGGCTTAAGTAGGTAAACAAAGCCGCTGGGAAGCTCGAATTGGGTGGAGCTCA